CCAACCCCAAAACCGTGCACAAGGTGATGAAGAAAAGAGACTCACTCCTTGTGAAGTCCCAAACATGAACCAAGAAAAAGAGGAGAAACCTTATTCTCCCACAAGTGGCAACATATCAAATATAAAAAATGGAGCATTCTTCCCACCTTAGGGAAGTAGACATCTCAAGACAAAACAAATATGAAAACTCCTTTATAAGGAATCTCATAATGAAACCATTACAGAAACCAGCATACAAACTACGCGCGACCGAGGGAAACAAATAGGAAAACCAACATGGAAGTCATGCATATAACAAGGAAGGCAACTACCAAATAAGTAAATCTACTCACATAGATAAAGTCAAGAGTACACGCGGCACGTCTCCAAGTAAACACAAAAGCATGTCATTAAAGCACAACAACAATACTGCATCTCTAAGCATATAAATAAGGCATGCTAATATCACACAACAAGAAAACAAATGTGGATAGACCTCCACCTACTCATGCATCGCAATAACATAAATCATATTACTAACATGGTAGTAAACAAAACTGTAGAAGATAAAATGGTGCAACAATGAACCCTATGGACATCGTGTCCTAAAGTGTCTAGGTAAAAAGGAAACAAGTCCTAGCTATAATCTGACTCCAAAAACCAATGTGACAACAACCTGTCTCAAAACAAACGTGACCCCTCACCATAATGGTAAGACTCTTACAATCTATTTCCGAATCTAAAGGTGACACTACGAGTGACATTAACAATGCAATGCTCTCACTATCCCGAAACATTGATCAATCGACTCGACTACAAAAGCGTCATCACGCAAGGAGAACTCAAATGAAATGGCTACTCTAGCCGTACCAACGACAACCAAATCAATCACTACAATTGATCGCTAAAACAACCATCATTATCATCGATCAAAGGGAATATGCCTATCAGGACAAAACCAATGTTGATTCCATCTGAACTGCCCTCATAGCTAGCCACTACGGTAGAATGACAGTGCCATGCACCGGCCCACAAAAATTGCAATCTCAGAGGAACCTTCCAAAACAACCAAGGATCCTAAGAGGTCCATAACCTCATCATAGCTCAAAACCAACAAATCCAGTCCTACGGTTGTAGTCAATGACTCAACTCATGAGGGCCTAAACAAAAGGTGTCTCTCTACCTACCTCAAAACCGATGCTAGATCAATAACGACCTAAACTATAATGAAACTGTGACTACAATCACCATTAATCTCAACTCGTGCCTCAATGACCAATCCCGTGTCATGCCAAATATGCAAGACAGTTATGCATATACAAATTTAACCTAGCATACATCATATGTCATACTCTTTACAATGGAATACAATCGTACTAAACAAACGGCATACCACATGTAGCACGTAAGCATATAAACATGTTATCAAACCAAAACATGTTATCATGAAGTATATAAATACGTAAAATAAAGCAACAAAAACGTGAAATGCACCCAAAACCCGTCGTCCAAGGTATTCAAACCTAGGAGCTCTGATACCATCTATGACGACCCTAGTTCTTCAAACCAGTGCGTCCTGTGATAAACCAGAGATTGACCCAATAGCGGATCCAGATACGAAAGTAAGAAATAAGACAACGGTCTCCTAAGACACAACATGCCTCTAAGACACTTTGATGACCTTCCATGAGGTTTGGAACTCAATGAGAACTAACGTGGAAATAAAAGATCAGAAAAGTAACAATTTAGCTCCCAGGGGCAAAATAGTTATTTTTGAAAAAATGGATTCGGGGGTCACCGAGCACACCGCTGGAAAGACAACGAAAAACTAATTAAGATGGACTCAAGAATCACATGATTCGGAGTCTGGACAAAGGAGAAACAACATGACGAAGAAAAGTAAGCCCTTAAGGCTAAAAGGGTAAACTGATAATTATCTAGGAAGATCTGGGTACAACTGAGCACACCATTGGAAAGACAGCGAAAAATTAATCAAGTTCAAGAAAAAGTTCACTCGATTTGGAGTCCGGACGAAGGAGAACGAGCAAAAACAAAAGTTGACGTCATGACGACGAGACGAGCACCTCGAAAAGCACTATGACATGCTAGGGGAAGAAAAGTTCTAGCCACAACTGAGAGCCAAAACAAGGTCAGAAACGAATTTTTCTAGAAAAACACGAAGAAGAAACCTCCCCCAAAATCAAGTTTTCTACCTGACAATGTGGAAGAAAATACAAAAAAACTCACTGTGAAATACCCAAATTTCCCCTAGATCAAAAGAGTTCAAGAGGGTCAAAAAGTTGCTACAGGATCTGTCCGCAACTGAGAGCAGAAATGAGCCATCAAGGGCGGACCCAAGGCTAGGCAAGGGTGGGCTGTAGCCCACCCCAAAAAAAAAAATTTTTTTTTTTACTATACTAATATATTAGCCCAGCCCAAAGAAAAAAAAAATTTAATAGTATTAGCCCTCTTCAAATACTCAATAAAGTCCAACTTCAACTCAGCCACCATACTAAAAGAAAGGCCCAAACCAAATAATCCCATGATGGGCACCAGAAAAAAAATAAAAATAAAAAAATAATAAAAACTTAGGGCAAATCATTTCGCGCTTTACACTTTAGTCTTTACACTTTTTACTTTACACTTTTCAGCCTCCCAGAGTCCCAGCCACCACTGTCTCATGTTCGGCACTTCGGCTCCTTTAGATTTTAGGGCAAATCATTTCATATTTCAGGCTTTCCGTTTCAGCCTCCCACGGTCCTACCCAACAAATTGGAATTGCTTTCATGATTCATTACTGTGCATGATCAAATGATCAATTGATAATTTGATATTTAAGGTAACTCATAATTCATTTCTTCAATTATTAATTTCCATGTATATATATATATATATATATATATATATATATATATATATATATATATATATATATATATATTATTCCATATTTTTTCTTAACAAAATTACTTAATATAGGGTTTAGTTAATTGGTTGATATATTTTGATTTAGGTAAATTACTTAAAAGTCAACAAATTGAATTGAATCACACAATTTCTAATTGGATCTCCCTTTGCAGAAATTGTTGAAGGCCAACAAACTGGAATTGCTTTCAATCTTTCATCACTTTAGACTTTCAATTATTAATTTCCATGTATATATATATATATATATATATATATATATATATATATATATATTTTATTCCATTTTTTTTCTTAACAAAATTACTTAATATAGGGTTTAGTTAATTGGTTGATTTATTTTGATTTAGGTAAATTACTTAAAAGTCAACAAATTGAATTGAATCACACAATTTCTAATTGGATCTCCCTTTGCAGAAATTATTGAAGGCCAACAAATTGGAATTGCTTTCAATCTTTCATCACTTCAGACTCTAAGTATAAAGCACAAGTGCACAACAAATTGGATCAATTGATATTCAAGGTAAGTCATTTATTCAATTATTCAATATATATATATATATATATATATATATATATATATATATTTTTTTTTATTCCAGATTTTTTTCTTAACAAAATTACTTAATATAGGTTTCGGTTAATTGGTTGATATATTTTGATTTAGGTAAATTACTTAAAAATTTAAAATTACTTGTTTTGCAAACTAAAAATTCTAAAATAGAATTAAACAACATCGTTTATGTTAATTTGGAAAAAGTAGACAAGCAGTGATACTGTGATAGAATGTTAAAAAGTAGAAACTACAGTTTACAGCTGGTCTTAGCATGGTATTGGTTGATATATTTTGATTTAGGTATTTTTTATCTAACTCATTCTTAAATTTTATTAGGTTAAATAATAATGGCTCAATTTCAATCTCCAAATAAGAAAGTGAAAACTATGTCTATTCTCTTATTCTATCAAAAGAGAGGCAAAATGAGTGACGATGGTCAATCGAAAAAGGATATACCTAGTGGTAGTGCATCTAACGCTGACGATGATCAATTGAAAAATGATATACCTAGTGATCTTGATTTGCAACCTCCTGTGGCTCCTGCCCTACCTTAAGTTGTTAAACCCAATCAACTTCACTCCACTTCTATTGAAAGAGATCCTGGATTACGTATTCAAATATATAAATACCCAGTAAAGTAAATGGATGAGGTTAGACGAGCTTACTTCATTTTGGGGCCTTAAACTTTCCAATTATCCTAACTCTTCAGATGGAAAGCAGAATCGACAATTTAAGTATAAATGGTTTAAGTAATTTCCTTGGCTAGAGTATTTTCCTTTAAAAGATAAAGTATATTGTTTTCCATGCTTTCTCTTTGAAAATACGGTGGCAAGTCGTTCTTCACTTGTAGTTGGTGGATTTAGCGGTTAGAGGAGAGTTAATGATGGAAAAAATTGTGTATTCTTGAAACATATGGGACTTCATTCCTCACCACATACAAAATGTGCCATGCTTTATGGGAATTTCAAGAAATCGGCACAACATATTGATAAAATGTTGAATGCCCAATCAAGAGAGGAGGTTTTGAAGAATCGAATACGGCTTAAAACAACTATTGAAATTGTTTGCTTGCTAGCATTGCAAGGAATTGGTTTTAGAGGCCATGATGAAAGTTCAAGTTCATTAAATCGTGGGAATTTTATTGACGTGTTGAAGTGCAAAGCGGAAGGAAATGATGAACTTTCAAGTGTTATCTTAGACAATGCTCCATAAAATGCCCAATACATTGCTCCGTGAATTCAAAAAGAGGTTCTTCATATTCTTGCAAACAGAGTGAGAAAAATGATTTGTGATGAAATTGCGGGAGGTAAATATTGTATTCTTGTTGATGAAGCACAAGATGAGTCTAATACAGAGCAATTGGCTCTTGTTTTAAGATATGTCAAGCATGATGGCTTATTAATGGAACATTTTTTTTGCCATTGTGGGAGTTGAAAACACATCAGCAGTTACGCTTAAGGATACAATATGTGTTATTTTTGGTCGGTTTGATTTTTCAATTCAAAATTTGAGAGGTCAAGGGTATGATGGTGCTAGTAATATGCGCGGCGAATGGAATAGACTACAAACATTATTTCTTAAAGATTGCCCATTTGCTTATTATGTCCATTGTTTTGCTCATCAATTACAATTAGCATTAGTTGCAGCAGCAAAAGATGAGACGAATATTTGGCAATTTTTCTCTCACCTAACTTGTATTGTCAATCTTGTTGCTTCCTCTCCTAAGCGTCTTGCTGAATTAAAATCTTTTCAAAGGGATGATATTGCATATATGTTGAGCATAGGTGAACGTGAATCTGGTAAAGGGGCTAATTAGATTGGCACCTTGCATCGAGCTGGAGCTACTCGTTGGAGCTCACATTATGATTCTGTGAAGGATTTGATTGATATGTATACTGCATCCTGCAGAGTTGTTAAAAGTCTTAGAAATAGTGGACAAAGTCAACAAATATGTGGGCAAGCTTCAGGTGTTTACAAGATAATGAGAAACTTTGAATTCATATTTATTTTACACCTAATGGATAACATTATGGGATTCATTGACACACATTACCAGGCCTTGCAATGCAAATCTCAAGATATTCTAAATGCTTTGAAATTAGTCTCATCAACTAAAAATCTCCTTCAAATATTCAGAGAAGATTATTGGGATATTTTTCTTGCCAATGTGGTGTCATTTTGCAATCGATATAACATTGATATACCTGATTTGAGTTCTCGTTATGTAGAGGGTATGGGTCGTCATTGTCAGCAACAAGATCATATTACAGTTGAGCACCATTATCACTTTGACATTTTCAACTCTGCAATAGATTTACAGTTGATGGAGTTAGAACATAGATTCAACAATGAAGTAGTGGAACTTCTTACTCTTAGCTCATCTTTGGATCCTAGTGATTCTTTTAAATATTTTAACGTGGAAAAGATATGCAATCTTCTATCCTTGGGACTTCACTGGCCAAGATGTTAGAACATTGAAGTTTCAGTTGATGCATTATTAACTTGATGTATCTAGTGATCCCAAGTTTTAGAATATTTCTTCTCTTACTGATTTAAGTCGGGAACTAGTTGTAAGCAAGAAGTTTGATTACTACCCTTTGGTTGATAGATTGATTCGTCTTGTATTGATTCTTCCTGTTTCTACAGCAACTACGGAAAGAGTATTTTCAAGCATTAAACGTGTTGAAACTGCGATGCGTAGCAGGATTGTAGATGAATTTCTTGTTAACTGCATGACCATCAATCTTGAACGGGAGCTTGTTTGGAAAATTGACTTGGAGCCTGTTATTGACGAATTCAAGTGTTTAAAGACTCGTTGAGGACAACTTAGATAGATATTTTGTAATCTTTGAATTTAAATATTTATCTATATTATGTTATAATTTTTTTTTTTTTTTTTTTTTTTTTTTTTTTGCTTAAGAAATTTTGTTATTAAATTTATGTTTAATATTAGTCCACCCCAATGACAAATCCTAGATCCGCCCTTGTGAGCCATCAAACGATTTTTTCTGGAAAAACACAAAGAAGAACCCCCCCTTAAAAAAAAAATCAAGTTTTCTACTAGATAACATGGACGAAAACAAAGAAAATGCACTGTAAAATGTCTAGAATACCCCCAAGAAAATCAGGTCAAGAAGTTTAAAATCTTTCCGAGCTGCTGCTAAAGGAAATGAAATAGGGCTTCGGGAGGTTTTTAAATCGTCTAAATTGAAAATGCAATCTTAAAATACACTCACAAGACCCTAGGAAGTTTTAGATCGGTCGACACATTTTTCAAAAAAAAGTCGATGAATAGTACTAAGTATTAAAATCTCAAGTTTGAAAAAAAAATATATATTTGTAAACTTTAGAATTAATGGCTCTTGGCCTCATGTCATAAATACAAAATAAGCATTCAAAAAGTTTACTTAGGTACACATTACATATTTGGAATCAAGGATATAAGTTTTAACATATAAGGCTACAAAATAACATTTCATGCTAACATTTGCATGAAATGGAAACTTAAAAGTTACAAGTCATCCAAGAAATGATGTGCATCACGGACCAAGCCTTCATACCTGAAACAAATCACCAGTAATTTCGGGGTGAGTAACATAAAGCTACTCGTAGGAAATGAGCATACATCTACCTAGTAGTTTACAAAATTATCACCTTAAGGTGAAACATGTCAAGGGGCTTATGCCACCTAACGTCTATGTCAAAATGAGACTCAGGGAGCATCCTAAACTATCTTAGATCATTTCTAGCATAAATCACATCATTCATGCAATTTAACCATATAGAAGCACACTATATAACGTGACAAGATATAGGTTCTCAACAGTATCAATTTGCAATCTAAGATACGAAAACAATTAAAGTGGGTCATGCCACCTAGCGTGTATGTTCCAAATGAGTCTAAGGAATCATCCTAAACTATATTAGAACAATAAAACACAAGTCATGATATCAATGCAATTTAACCAATATTGGAACTTCCAATACCATGCATAAAGCATGATTTGTCAAGTTAACATCTTGAAACTCAAAATGGAAAATCAAATAAGGAACAACAAGTTACGATATCATTTAGTTATCAACTTGAAATGAAATGTGAAATCAAACCAGGTGGATACTTAGATGTCATGCTAGATCAGACCGACACTGTAGTTACTTTAGTGTTGCTAGCCCACGGGTAACCTCCTCATATGGGCACTAGACTTGTAGAGGGACAATCCCCAGTACTAGAACCATGTTCTAGCCTTAGTCAAACAACGACATTTCTAAGTTTCCAAAATCAACAAGTTATACAACAACGTATATGTTAATATGTATATAAAAGATAATCAACTATCTACCACGCACAACCAAATTTGGAAACACATACAATACATGCTATAAGTCCATAACTACTATGGCATGAAAGATGTTAAATACAAAATGTGCAACTCATTACACAAGACAACGATATATTCAATATGGAAAATATATTCTCCTGAATATAAATATAATAACTATGTTATCTAATGCTCAAAATGTAACCAAGTGAATATACAACAAGTCCAAGTTCATGATTTAAACATAGAAACAACTTCCAAAACACAATTAAATCCATGAGCAATTAGATAGAATTTAATTAAATAAAAATAATTAAATTCTCTGGATTCCAAATTAATTCCAAATAACCTCAAATTTATATATGTTGAAGGACATATCATGGTCATCACATACATAACATCAAATAACTAATTAAGTGATTAAAACACTTAAAATAAAATAAATTAAGCTAATTAATTAATTTCCTCTAGATTTTTAAACAATTCCAAATGCTCTCAAATTAACATATGTTTAAAAACTCACCAAGGCCTACTTTAATATCACATTACAAGTTTATTTCATGCTTGATACAACTATGTGAATTAAATTTTCACAAAAGATAAATATTAAATAAAAGTTGTAATTCTTATTCAAATAATCATAATTTAATATATATCAACCACCATACCAAGGCCTAAATTTCTAGCATGCCACAATTTAATTCTAAGTTGAATATCATCATAAGAAAAATTTTACACAAAGAAAATAATTAAATTAAATTCTAGATTATGAACAAAAGCATGCATACAAGTTATATAAGCATCATTAGCATGCAAGGCAACAAAAATATGAAACTATAACACCCCCTACCTCCAATTGAGATGAAAATCTCAAATCCCCACTGAAAGAGAAGTGCTTCGAATCCGACGATACTCCTAGGTTATGTCAGGGACAACACGGTGAACATTAAATTCCAAAGAGGACATACCAAAATCTAAACTTGACCTTAAACCCGAACTCAAAAAATGGTCAAAAACGGATTCTAATATGGGGAAAGATGCGCGTAGTCAAGACAAGCATAAAACACGAAGGTACTACGACTTTTTAACAAAGGGAAGGAGGTTTAATTGAGAGAAGAAGAGTGGCAGCCCCCCTTAGGCTACTATGGCAGCTTCTGGTCATGCATGAAGAGAGGGGAAGATCACTTTTTAATTTTATAACCCCCTATTTATAGGAAAACCCTAAAATTTCCCTGAAAGGGCCCCGCCGGGTCCGGAAAAGTGAAATTTGAGCAGACGCGCTCAAACGGCACTACTCCATGACCAAAAAAGAACTGAAATGAGAAAATATGAACAATGGAAGAAACAACGTCGAAAATCGAGTCTCGAACAAAGGATATGCCCCAAACAAGTTCAGCAGCAACTAGATCCAAAAACCTTGAAACTGGGGAAAAATGACCAGAAGACAATTCTAAGAGTAAACGACTCGACGAAAAGTGAAAATAAATCCCATACGAGGATCCAGGCTCAAAATGAGACATTTTTGCAATAATTTTCATTAATTGCACAATGGCCTCTCCTAAAAGTGAAAATTGCACTGATGACTCAGAATGGAAATATCTTCCATAAATATTTTCTTAAAAATCCCTGAAATAAAATATCTTCAAAAGATATTTATGAAAAACACCCCAAGAAAAGAAAAAGATTCTGAAAAACTATGCATCCATGCCTCTATGGACATCGGGAGCAACTAGAGTACTTTACTGTAAAAGTAAAGATACGTATTTTGTGGAAACCACTTAAAATGAATATACGTGAAGTCAAAAACCAACTCCGAGCACGAAAAGTGAGGTTGTGCCAAAAAGTGACAAACAGGGAAAAGACAAAATGGGGAAAAGGACGAAAAGTGAATAATATCGATAACGAAAAATGTGGAAATGACTCGGTCCTTAAAGGAAGTTGTCAATCTAAAGGAAAAAGTCTCAGAAATCATTTTTGAAAAACCAAACACAGAATAGGAAAGACAATGGAAAAAATTTATCCGCAAAATTTGAGGAAAAAGGAAAGGAAGAAAATAACTGGGTCATTACAAGTGCTCTCTCCAATCTTTATGTACTTATCACAAAGATCCGTTGAAATTCCGTATGTGAGTAGTCGTATTTCTGTTGTCATCTTTTACATAGGGGTGCACCCCATACGACTAGTAGCATTTGAAGAAGTTGTCATGAGTTGTAATATCGTTCACAATGTGAAAAAAAAAACAACTGTCGTCGAATCTGGAACCGTCTATGAAAGTATTTAGGTGGAAACATGTGATTTTTAGTGAAGTAATCTTTCCAAAGTTATTATGCTACATCTTCCCGATCACGCTTAATATATCATTTTTTCTTTGGTTTAAATAATGTTTTTAGATTCTTAGGAGTAAAAATACCCAGAATCATTTTGATCATTTTATGATAGAATTGATAAACAGTCTCCCGATCAGAATTTGACGAATTTTCTGAAGAATCAGATTCGGTGATTTGAAAAAATTGTAATGATGATGCCATTTTTTTTTTTTGTTGTAAAGATGTTGAGAATTTAAAGAAGAGAAAAAGTGCTAGAGGAATCAAAGAAGAGAAAAATGGATTTGAGGAATGAAGGAAGAGAAAATGGACTTGAGTAATTACAGAAAAGTAAATTAGTGGTTTATATAGCCATTGGGGATATAGCCGTTGGGTGTACAACAATCTCGAAAAATACTACACTCATTTCACTCAATACTCATCCTTCAACAGTCATTTCACTAAATCATCATCCTTCGATACTCAATGGATCAGCGATCTCCATCTAATAACCCTCACATTAACTAATATGAAAACTTTGAAATACCATCTTAATTCAATTTTGGGTGGCACTCTCAAGATCCAACCCATTCTGAATATACATCTCAACCCCAATTTCAAAACCAATTTTATCCGTAATACACACCTCAATTTCAAAATCCATTTTGTCCCCCTTACACATCTCAATTCCAAAATCCATCTCAACTACCCCCATACACACCTTAATTCCAAAATTCATCTCAACCTTTTCAATCACAGCCACCCTCAAGGAAAAGGGTGGGAATTGGTCCGAAGAAGAAGATATAGCATTGAGCAAAGCATGGATCATAATTGGTGAAGATCCAATTATGGGTACAGATCAAAGTAAGACTATATTATGGCAACGAATTCACGCTCACTAGGTTAGGCAATTAGGAGACATGATGATGGAAAAAAGAACACATGGTGCTCTGATAAACCATTTTACAAACTTTCAGTGTGAAGGAAACAAATTTTCTGGATATTACAAAAATGTCCACGACAATCTAATGAGTGGCTACAATAAGAATGATTTGGTAAGTTTTTACTTTATACAATATTTTTTTATTCTTAATTTAATCCAACTTATTAATTTCAATGATTTTTTTATTTTTTATAGATGAATACTGTTAGAGATGTATATGAATTTCAATAGGAAAAAAAATTTAAATACAAGTA